CTGTGATCACGTCACCGCACTCCATCTTGGGTGACAGAGTGAGACTTTGTCTCAAAAAAAAAAAAATTATATCTACATCTGTGTGTGACACAGCCTTGGCTCTGATTTCTCAAGAGACACTTTCATTTCCACACAGAAGCCCATGCAAGGATGAACTTCCTTACTGCTTTCTTTGGCTAATGAGTAGTTTTTCTGTTTTTCATTCAACAGAAGGGCAGCCTTTGCACGTTTCCACCTTTAGGCAGGCGCTTCAGTTCTCACTTCCTGCTTTACACAGGACTGAAAGGTTCATCTTCTATCCCTACATGGGAATTACAATCCTAGCCTCAAACCATGACAACCTGTCTCTATTCCCTAAATCCCTCTGTGTGGCTGATGCTGCATTTGTAGAACTAGATTCCTGCCTCATTTCCTGTAAGTTGGCGTTTCTGTTTCACTTCATGATTAATTCTGTATTTATAATTCTTTTATTTTATCTAGCATGCCTATGTATTCATAGCAAGATTAGAGTTTGCATTAGAGCTGATAGCCTGTTGCTAGACACTGAAGTCCACTATTTACATAATACATTTAATAGATTTTTTTTTTTAAAGAGCTTCACTGTAAAAGAAAAAACTTAAAAATCAAAGGATTAGTCCAATGCTCTCGTACTGATGAAGAAAGGAGGTCTAGGAAATGAAGGGCCTGTTAGAGGCCCCACCCTACCAGTAATAGATTTCCACTCTCCAATCTCCCTCCCCTCTTCCCTCCTATGAGCTCTCTCTCCTTCCTTCATTTGTTTCTTCCTTCCATGAACTATATTATATATTCAATGCAACATCTTGAGAACTTAGATAGTATCCACTGGCCAAATATGAGGGCAATTTTGAGAGTTTAAGTCACCCCAAAAGCCTGTGACAGTTCAGGGTAGCATAGTGATGTGGGTTCAACTCTAGAATTATCACCTTCTTCATCAGAAATGTCCATAGGAAGGCTACAGTCACCATTTGGTTTGTGAAGGGCTTGATTTTCCCTCTACAGAGAATATGGCAACTCATTTTTTTGTGGAACAATTATGAATACTTTGTTAAGATGTATTTGTGGATTCAAATGGTTACTTTTTTCCTGTAGCTCTGACTATAACAATATGAGTGAAATGTGGTTACAACCATTTATGCCAGGGAAGTTGAATGAATGTCCCTGGTTGGGCGTGGTGGCTCACGCCTGTAATCCCAGAACTTTGGGAGGCCGAGGTGGGTGCATTACCTGAGGTCAGGAGTTCAAAACAAGCCTGGCCAACATGGTGAAACCCCGTCTCTACAAAAATGCAAAAATTAGCTGGGCATGATGATGGGCGCCTGTACTCCCAGCTACTCGGGAGGCTGAGGCGGGAGATTCGCTTGAACCCAGGAGGCGGAGGTTGTAGTGAGCCAACATCGCACCGTTGCACTCCAGCTTGGGAGGCAGAGTGAGGCTCTGTCTCAAAAAAGGAAGAAAAGAAAAAAAAAAAAAACTATTGTTTGCGACCACACCCTATCATCACAGTAAAAAACCCCAAAAACCAAACCTGCAGAAACCCAGTGACAAATATTGTTACCTTTGGACACTTGTTTTTCATTTATACCTGCTTCACTGTTCATTTTTTCTAAGTCTTTCTTTGCATCATGTGCTATCAAAAGCAACTTGTGTTTCCTTTAAAGCCAACTGCCCCAGTGAAGTGCCAGTTGGTTAAGAAAAGTCAACAAACCATAAAGGGAAATAAGGAACTGATAGGACTTCAAAGAGCCTTGTTTCTTTCATACTAACACACCTTGGCATCATCGTAGAGGTGGCAGTCCATTATTTCCATGAAAACAAAAACTCCTTCTCTGCCTTTTTAGCAGTTTCACATCAACCTGAGGTGATGGGGGAGTTTATCAGAAGTACTTAAACAGGTAGATAAACTAAGGTGACTATTCTCTGTAAGCCCAGGATCAAAGTTCTGGAGAGAAATGACTTTTAAACTATAAGAGAGACTTCAAATGGTATGAGTACTGAGCCTCCCAGGTGGATCCTACTAGAAGCTCTTGTATGGCAGATGTGTTTATTATTGCTGACGTGAACCCAGTCATTCACTGAGCGTTCACACCACCATTCACTGAGCACGTACTATGAACCATGTACCATGCTCAATGCTTCATATGCATTATTTCATCGAATCCTCCCAACAAGCCCAAGGGGAGGTATATTCCCATTTTATAGACTGGAAAATGGAGGCTCAGAGACATAATATATTGCCCAAGGTCACCTAGCTGGTATGTGTGGTAGAGCTAGGACTCAACCCATTGTCTGTCTGATGGCAAAGCCCACATTTTACCTTTGAACCATGAACCTGCCTCAGGGATATACAATTTAAACCCCTGTACTCTTTATCTTCAAGACTTTTTTATGAGTAACTCCTTTTCTCCATTAAAGGTTACTTACCTAAATAATTTGAGATTATCTGCAAGTTTAGGGATATCAGTAATGTCCTCCTAAGAAAAAACAAATAATGTTTCAAAAGCAGGAACTTCATAAGTGATGCTGAAACTCAACCTGCATTGTCTAACATGGCAGTCCCTTGCTACATGTGGCTATTTAAATTTGAATTAATTCACATTAAATAAAATGAAAAATTCAGTTCTTCAGTTACACTCGCCACATTTCCAATAGTTAACTGGGCGTGGGAGTGAGGAGGGCTGGGAGGAGAATGGGGGCCCTGTTGAGGTCCCCTAGGTGGCTGGCAAAATTGTATTTCTTGATTTTGGTGGTGACTTGGGTGACAATTGAATACTCATTTGTTAAGCTGCACATACGTGTATTTTTCACTTTTCTGTTTGTGTCATAGATTACAAAAATGAAAAGCGAGAGATGAAAAAAATGAAAAAATGAATAAAGTACTCCCTATAACTGTCATTCAAGTTAAAAATCTAAATTAGAAATGACTACTTTTATATGCAAACAAAAGACTTTATAATTTTTATATTAGAGTGGGTAACTCCTGCTACACCTAATCACTGATTAAACTTTCAAAGTGAACCTGGTTCAAAGTTCATTCTGGAATGTAGGCTGGTGCCTGTTTTCAAACTGAAAAGCCTATTGTTAGCATCGTGTAAAACTATTAAGGGAGGGAGGACATAACTTTTTATTTATTCTAAAAAGAATTACTTTCCTGTTGTATTTATTCAGTGGAGAAAGTAGACAACAGAGAACTCCAAGTTCATGGGGCCTGTGTCTTCTGTAAGCGTGAGACAGGGCCCTGCATCTCTAAAGAATCTTGGCATTTAGTTTGCATTAAGTATTTGCTCCTGAATGAGACCAATTTCTTATTTTAGGACATTTAATGATAAGAGAACATATATTCAATGCAGAAGAATATAGTAACACAATCTAATCCATGATTACTGTTTACATCCAATTATGGTGGAGCCACCTCTCTGATTCAATGTGATTAATAATTATTCCCATGGCTGAAGTTAAATAAAAGGGTGGCACCTCATGAGTGAATTAAACAGGAGGGAAATTTTCAGTTATAAAGCTGACATTCACCTTTCATGGGTAAGGAGAAAGAGATGACAGAACAGTTATCTTTGTTTTATTGGAGGGTTTTTGTTTATCTCCTGAAGTCAAAAGCATTCAGAAACTTTTTGCAATGTTCCGGAAAAAGGCCACAACTTCTGTCAAGCTTGTCTAGTTGAAATGGATGACAAAGTAAATAGAAATAAGGTTTTTATCTGTAAAGAATTTTCTTGGCCAGTCATAGTGGCTCATGCCTGTAATCTCAACACTTTGGGAGGCTGAGGCAGGAGAGTCACTTGAGCCCTGGAGTTAGAGACCGGCCTGGGGAATATGGCAAACCTTGTCTCCACAAAAAATACAAAAATTAGCCGGGCCTGGTAGTGTGTGCCTGTAGTCCCAGCTACTCAGGAGGCTGAGATGGGAGGACTGCTTGAGCCCAGGAGGCTGAGGCTGCAGTGAGCCTTGATTGCACTACTTACTTCAGCTTATCTCAGAAGAAAGAAAAAAAGAAACAATTTTCTCTATTCTATTCTCACAGCTGCCCCATGCAATAGACAGGGTGGTATTTTCTAGACTTAAGTTTAGGGACCAATTCCACATTCCATGCTAGTGAAGTGGAGCCCTCGGCAGTGGCTCCTTCACACCATGCCAACTTATCCCTAGGAAGAAATACAACACCAAAGTATTGTCTTTAGTAGAAATGAAAATATAGTCCCTTACAGAGCTAACCCGTGAAAAGTTAGTTAGTTCTTGCTAGGTTGAAGCTTGTTAGGTGAAGAGAATCTTTTTTTTTTTTTCAAAATCAGATGAAATATTCTCTTACTTCTAATAAAGAAAAGTTCATTTATACTTGTCAATCAGTTAGAAGAAAGCCACAGTTCTGGGTGATCGGAAAGAGTTCATACCAAAAGGCTGTCTGCTTTTCCACCTTCTAGGGTTACTTCCAAATTAGAAAGCGCTGCTTCTATTTCGTCAACCTCGGACTCGCTTGTAAAATCCTGTGTTTCAGTGGACAACGACAGTTTGCTAATGTGGTACTAAAATGAAAACAGAAGTTTTAGAAATGTTGTAAACAGAAATGTTATACATATAAATGAATCCATTAGCTATTTTTTTTCCTTTGAGGACTATTCCCTTGGAATACTGAACATTTTCTAAGAGGAGATCTCCTTCCCGTGTGGGGAAAATGACATTTTAAACCTGAGTCATTCTGAGGTCCATGATTAGTCATGTTACAACTGGTTCTTTCTCATCACTGACTGTGCTTACGGTAGGGAAGAGATAATAATTGCAAGACCAGTGTCTTACATAGGATGTGAGCGTGTGTGGATGATGAAGAACATTCTAAATTAAAAATTTGTTCTGCTCTGAAGAAGAAAGCAAAATAAAAAATACAGAAAAAAATTGCTCTCCTTATTTTCAGATATTTCTTCAAAGAAAAAAAAAAACTAGTATGAAGCATATGAAACTTTAAGCAGAACAAACTTGGTTTGTTTCCTTCCAGAGAAAAGGCACTGAAGTCCCCATACCTGTAGAGCTGCAAAGATCAACATTTCTTCCTCTGTGCAATCAATTTCCTCTAAGAGAATGGCCCACCTGGCTTGTTCGTAGAGTTGGTTTATTCGGACAGCATCATACTAGAGATAAAAACAGAGGTGTGTGTGTAACGAGGTATATTTACATCCCACAATACAAAAATTCTGAAACAGCTGAGGCCATTCTCTGTTAATCAGATGCAGCAAACTTCAGCTCAGGTAAATGAAAGGAACACTTCTATTGTGCCAAATACTCAGCCTTTTTAAAAAAAAAATTTTTTTTTAAATTTTTTATTTTTTTTGAGACAGGGTCTCACTCTGTCGCTTAGGCTGGAGTGCAGTGGTGCAATCTTGGCTCACTGCAACATCCGCCTCCTGGGTTCAAACAATTCTTGTGCCCCAGCCTCCCAAGTAGCTGGGACTACAGGCGTGTGCCACCACACCTGGCTAATGTTTGTATTTTTTTGTAGAGACAGGGTTTCGCCATGTTGCCCAGGCTGGTCTCAAACTCCTGTGCTCAAACAATCTACCCATCTCAGTCCCACAAAGTGCTGGGATTACCGGTGTGAGCCACTGCGCCTGGCCCTCCAGCCCATTTTACTTCTGAATTCAGAACTGACTTTCTTCAAACATTTTCCAGAGCTGCTGCTGCTTCTTCACAACCTAACTTTGATTCCATTATTTTCTCTCTTTTATGTACATATTGGTGGTAATAGATAGTAAAAATGGTTCATACGATAAACAGTGTAATAGATAAACAGTGTAACAGAAGGGATCCCCATGCTGATCCACAAGCCCAGTGCAATCCCAAGCAGAATCTGATGGGAATTTTTTAATGAAACTTTATACAAGCTGATTCTCAAGTTAAGTTGGAAGACACAATGTTCAAATATTGCCAAGAAACGGAAAAAGAACAATGTTGAGTAAAGCACTTGTCCTCCCAGACATTAAAACCTATTATAAAGTTGCAGTAAATAAAATGATATGGTACTAGTGTAGCGATTGGTAAAGTGTCAATAGAACCTTATCTAAAAACAGACTTATGTATGTATATAAATTTAATATAAAATATTAATTTTATATTAAAATATAAAAATGACATTTTATAACAGCAGTGGAAGGAAGAATTCAACACTATAAACAGTGTTGAAAATGCCTAGCCACTTGGAACACAAATCGAAACAAAAAAATAACTTTACACTATCCAAAAATATAAATTACAGATGGATTAAATAATTTAAACATATAAAACCACAATAAGATACTACTTCACACCTACTAGAATGGCTCTTATCTAAAAGACAGGTAATAACCAGTGTTGGTGAGGCTGTGGAGAAATTGGAACCCTTGTGCACTGCTAGGTGTAAAATGATGCAGCCTCTGTAGAAAAGTTTGGCAGTTCTTTAAAAAGTTAAACATAGAATATAATCCATCAGTCCTACTCCTACATGTACACCCAAACAAACTGAAAGTGGCATCCAAACACATACTTGTACAATAATGTTTACAGCAATAATATTCATAATAGCCAAAAGGTAGAAACAGTCCAGATGTACATCAACAGCTGAATGGATAAATAAAATGCTGTACACATACAATAGAACACTATTCAGCCTTAAAAAGGAATGGAATTCTGGCTGGGCACGGTGGCTCACACCTGTAATCCTAGCACTTTGAGAGGCAGAGGTGGGCAGATCACTTGAGGTCATGAGTTTGAGACCCACCTGGCCAACATGGTGAAACCCTGACTCTACTAAAAATACAAAAATTAGCCGGGCATGGTGGCAGGCGCATGTCATCCCACCTACTTGGGAGGCTGAGATGGGACAATTACTTGAACCTGGGAGGCAGAGGTTGCAGTGAGCTGAGATTGCACCACTGCACTCCAGCCTGGGCAATGAGAGTGAGACTGCCTCAGGAAAAAAAAAAGAAGAAAAAAGAAAAAAAAAGAGGAATGAAATTCTGATACATGATACAATATGAATGAGCTTGAAGATACTGTGCTAAGTGAAATAAGCCAAATACAAAAAATCAAATACTGGATGACTTCACTTATAAAACTACTAGAATAGGCAAATTCATAGAGACAGAAAGTAGAATAGAGGTTACCAGGGGCAAGGGAGAGAAGGCAATGAAGAATTACTGTTTAGTGGGTACAGAGTTTTTTTTGGGATGATAAGAAAGTTTTGAAAATGGACAGTGGCCCAACCTGGGCAACATAGCAAGACTCTTGTCTCTATTTTTTAAAAAAGTGGCTCGTGCCTATAGTCCCAGATACTTGGGAGGCTGAGGCAGGAGGATTGCTTGAGGCCAGGAATTCAAGATCACCCTAGGCAACATGATGAGTCTCTGCTGTTTCTACAAAAAATAAAATAAAATAAATTATCCAGGCATGGTGGCATGCACCTGTTCCAGCTACTCAGGAGGCTGAGGTTGGAGGATTGCTTGAGCCTAGGAGTTTGAGGGTGCAGGGAGCTATGATCACAGCCTGGGTGACAGAGAGAGACTCTAGCTCAGGAAAAAAAAAAAAAGAGAGAGAGAGAGAAAATAGATAGTGGTGATAGTTTCACAACACTGTGAATATCCTTAATGCTACTAAATTGTGCATCTAAAAATGGTTAAAATGGTAAATATTATGTATATTTTACAATAAAAAATCAAAGAAAAAATTCCAAACGAATACATGAATGTTCATGGCAGTATTATCCATAACAGTCAAACAGTGAAAACAATCCAAATGTTCATTGATTGATGAATGAATGTAGTATACATAAACAAGGAAATATTAGCGTTAAAAAGACATAAAATATAATACATACTATAATAGGAATGAGTGAATGAATTCCGAAAATACTATGCTAAGTGAAAACAATTATTCAGAAAGTACCACATTTTGTGTAATTCCACTTACAGGAGGTTTCCAGAATAGGCAAATCCACAGAGATAGAAAATAGACTGATGATTGCCCAGGGCTGGGAGGGTAGGAGAGAACTGGGGAGTGATTGCCACTGGGTATGGAGTTTCTTACTGAGGTGACGAAAATGTTCTGAAATTAGATGGTGGTTAATGGTTGCACAACAACTCTGTGAATATACTAAAAACCACTGAATTGTACATATCAAACAGGTAAATGTGTGGCATGTAAATTGCATCTCAAAAAGCTATTATAAAACAGCTAAACAGAAAAACCATGACTATTATTAGATGGACACATGAGGGAATACCTTCTGTAATCTTTAAATGGGGAAGTCTATTCCAAGCAAGACAAGAGGCCTAAAAGTTATGATGCAAAGGCTGCCCTGACAACCTAAAATTAAACATTTTTAATGGTAAAAAAATCCTAAAGAAGGTTATAAATGTATAAAATGTAGGATAGAGATTTAAAAAAATATTTGAAATATTTGAATAATTTTAAAAATTTGTAATAAATATAAAAAATGATGTCCATCATATCAAAGTACTCCTATAAATCATATGAAAAGTATAAATAATTCAATAGAGTTTGTGGCAAATATATAAACAGGCAATTCACAGAAGAAAGCAAAATGGCCATAAAAACATTGGAAAAGATGCTCAATCTCACTAATTACTAGAGAATTCGAACTAAAGCAAGATGACCTAATTTCCACTTTTCTATCACATCTACCTACATTACAAATACTGGTAATGTTTGATGTTGGTGAGGATATGGGGATATCAGCCCTTTCACAGATGCTGTTAGTAGAAAGGTAATTTGGTGATATAAAGCTTTCAGTATCATTTTGCCCTTTGATAAGCACATCCAGTGTTACTGTTCCAAAGAAATGTAAGCACTTGTGAGATACTTCTACAAGAATGTTCAGCACATTTAAGTCCTGATAAACTACAGTTTAGCCTTTCCTTTGATTATTTTTCATTGGTTAAAAAAAGTGAGTCCGACTTATTTATACTGACATAAAAGATAGCCATGATATGTTATGAAGAAACAAGAAACAAGCTACAGAGCAAACAAGTGATCCTACTTATCTAGGGAACACAAAGTCTTGAAAATCTATTCAAAAATATGTTTGTAAACATGTCTACAAAAGTCTGCAAGGATGGTTGGTCATGAAGTTGTTAACTGTGGCTGCCTCTTAGGAGAATGGTCATGGTACAGAACTGTTTTCCATTTTTACTCTAAATAATTTCTTTCTTATTACGTTTGTTTGTTTATTTATTTTTGATTTTACTCTAATTTCTTTCTTATTATGTTTGTTTGTTTATTTATTTTTGAGATAGAGTCTCACTCTGTTGCCCAGGCTGGAGTGCCATGGCACAATCTCCGCTCACTGCAACCTCTGCCTCCCAGGTTCAAGTGATTCTCCTGCCTCAGCTTCCTGAGTAGCGGGGATTACAGGTGCCCGCCACCATGCTCTGCTAATTTTTTTTTTTTTGTATTTTTAGTAGAGACAGGGTTTCACCATGCTGGCAAGGCTCGTCTCAAACTCCCAATGTCAGGTGATTCACCCGCCTCGGCCTCCCAAAGTGCTGGGATTACAGGCATGAGCCACTGTGCCCACCCTATGTTTGAGTTTTAAAAAATAATTTAATTGTAGTAAAATATATGAAACATAATATTTACCATCTTAACCATCCCCCCCTGTTTTTTAGAGGCAGGGTCTCACTCTGTCATGCAGGGTGTAATGCAGTGGTGCAATCAGAGCTCACTGCAGCCTTGAACTCCTGGGCTCCAGCAATACTCCTGCTTCAGCCTCCCCAGCAGTTGGGACTACAGGTGTGAGCCACCACAGTTGGCTAATTTTTT